CGGGGCATTCTGCAGAGAATGCACATCACTAGTGCTGGACAATGGCACTGCAGTAAAACACAAAGCTCCAAGAGGTTCGGCATCATGGGAAAGTTCTCCATTTGTATCCAGAGACTTTCCTGAGTACACCAGGCATGCACTTGCCCTTGATCCAGGGTTCACTGAAACTGAGGCATCAAGACCCTACTGGGGGCACCTGTCTGTCTCTCTGTCTCTTGCTCTCTCATGGAATAAATAAACTAAAAAATAAAAATAAATAAATAAAGACCTGAAAATACATATTATTAGATGTGAACATATTTTGAGAGTAAGGTAAAAGTAACACACCTACAGTGAAAGTCACTTTTATCAGCAAGTTGAAAGATGAAAAACATCCAGAACTCAGTGGTCCTTGACTGAGTAATGTAAACAAGTCAGAATACCAAGTTGATTTCCTACCAGGTATCTTTGTGACATCAAAGAAAAGGAACTAAAAACTATACCTCTCTCTGTTATTAAGCAATGCGGCTCAGACTGGCTGCTACAATGGCTAGGAAATGATTAGCCATTTAAAATGGCTCAATGTGTGAACTGTGAAAATAAAATATCCAAGGAACAGTTGAGTTAGGTGAACTGAAACAGAACCAAAATGGTCTTGATAAATTTCCCCTTTGAGAAAGAAAATTGGACTAAATGAACAAACTGACAGAACATTCAAAATTCTGTCTCTAGCTTTCCTTGTGAAAATGCTTAGTTCTTCCTAAGAAGAAAGAAACACATGGTTTGTTTTATTATCTCTGCTGTCAAGTGTTTCTCACACTGACTATCAATATCAATCAAGATGTGCTCGCTGTCGAGGTTTTATAGGTCAAATGAATTGCTATTCAGATAGGAAAGAGATTTGTTATAAATGCATCTACACTACAGACAGCTCCTCCCTTAGCCAGGAAAAGACATACCCAAGTCATCTGTTTATGCAAGTTTATTTCTTTAGCCACAATAGATGTGAACACTTGCAATCCACATATGTGATCCTTTGTTTATAAGTTTTTCATTAGAAGAAATAATGTTGTAAAATAAATTTTATATAAAATCTTTTTTTTTTTTTAGGAGAGATTTTTGCTATTGGGCACATGCACTCGCTGGAGAGACAGAAAGACAGAAAGCAAGAAATCACCCCCCCAGGGGAAATAGGCATGCTCCAATCCCTTCTCCTCCATTCTCTTCTCAGGATTTTGGGCACACATGTACATGCGCCGACTTGAGTTTTAAGCTGCTGGGTCTGGGACTCAAACCGCGGTTAACTACGTCAGAGCCCAACAACATAACCATTACCCCATCTGCTGGTCCAGAAATAAAATCTTTTAAAAGAAAAAAGAAGTAAAATGGCTTATTTTCTTTTCTTTTTTTTTTTTTTTTTAAGAGATCTTTTGCTATAGGGCATGTGTGCTCACCAAAGAGTCAAACCAGAAAGCAAGAAATCACCCCCCAGGGAGATGGCCACACTGCAATCCCTTCTCCATTCTTCTCTTGGGATCTTAACATGTATGCACATGTGCCTAGCATGAGTTTTTAGCTGCCAGGTCCAAGACTATAACAACAATCAGCCACGTGAGAGTCCAGTGACATAACCACTAAACCACTGCTAGTCCCTGTAAAATGGCACCTTCCATCCAGTAATGGTTATCTACCACTGCCCTTAGATTTTCAAAATATTAAGTTAATCAGGGTATGTTCACCAGTGCACTCAACTATAAATTGGTCCTGTGTTCCATTTTGTTCTGTTCTGTTCTGTTCTACTCTATTCTACCTCCACCATTTACCAGCTCAGGTCTCAGTTTCTCTTCTGTAAAACAGAGATACTAATTACTAGATCAACTCCACAGGGTTGTATTGTAAAGTGAATGAGGTAATAAATGCTAAACAGTGTCTATACAAAGCAAATTCTCCATAATTACTGGCTCCTATTCTTTTTATCATCATTATCAATCTATTTCAAAGTCCACTGCCACCATAAAAGAAGTTTAACTGATAAAACTAGCAAGCTCTATGGCTTCTCTTTCTACTTTGATTCGTTTAGGTAGACAGATGGTTTGTGCAACCTCCTGAAAGACTGCATAAGACATGTCTTGTTATCCTGTAAGGTAAACATTTAATTAGACTCTGGTAGTGTTCTAAGCTGTAATCTCTCTCTCTCTCTCTCTCTCTCTCTCTCTCTCAAATAGCCCTTTGAGATAGGTACTATTACCTCATCTTGCAGATGAGAAAGCTGAGGCAAACTGAGGCTCACTAGGTCCCAGAGCTGGTCAGTGATGTTTGAAAAGTAACAAGCTGAGGTTTGGCGCCAGTGCCAAGCACTAACCTAAGTCATACAGAACACAGCCACAAGCCACCAGAGCATATAAGGCCCAGCAAAACTGCAGGCTGAAGACAAGCCCAAGGCTACCACAGCTGAAGCAAGGCCTATGGCCTGGAGTATAATCCTGGATGAGCTGGCTCCCCTAAAAACTGCATTAGGTAATAATCCAAGACAGTGTCGGGTACCAGGAACCCAAGAGACAGCTAAACTCAAAGGTAGTATTAAGGCCCTGGGCAGTACTAAGAATTTTAATGAGAAGCCAAACCCAATGCCAACCCATGAGTTTGCACACTGTATGAGACAGGAACCCAGCCCTGAGTAGGTCTGGCCTGCATTCGATAGACGGCTCTGCCTGCTGCTCTCATCTAAGGTGAGCAGTGAAGAGAGGTGGGCAGAAGGTGGCTGCTTTGGAGCAACAACGGTGGTCAATTCTGCTTGTGTAATAAACCAGTACTAACTGAAAATTAACATTGTTATTATTAAGAGCCTGAAATCCTATCTCTGGGTTTATCCACAGACCTTTAAAGACCTTGGACAAACTGACTTTCTCCATCTCCCAGTCTCCAGTACAGTTCTCAGCAGACATGTTATCACTGCCTGTCCTCATGGGACTGAGGGCGTTTTTGGCTTTATGGATTACACATATATGTGGTTAGTGACAGCTTTCAAGTGCTTTAACGCCTTTGCTTGAAAAATGACACTAAGTTACAGGCTTTGCTTCATATGTCTCTATCTCTAGCTATACAGCACCACATCATTGACATTTCTGTCAACAACAAGCCACTATACACAGGTGCTCCTATAGATTATGCCATCTGGAGGGACTTCAAAAAATTCATGGAAAATACAATTAAAGTACATGTTTATTGTGATACAAAAAAGTTTGAAATCCATGCATGGTATTTTTTCATAATATGCACTTTCTGTAAACTTTTTGAAGATTTCCTTGTTCAGCCTAGGTATGTAGTAGGTCATACCACCCAGATTTGTGTAAATGTACTCCACGATGATCACAGAATGACAAAATCACCTATGCCATTTCTCAGAACAGATCCCCATCATTACGTGCCATACGACCACATTTATATTTATCTAGGTACATAAAGCAAAATGCTCTCATTTCAAAAACTAGTTAAAACCTGTATCTGAAAGTATGGAATGTAATTTTTAGATTCATTAGACTAAATTTTAATTCCCTATTAATAATCCTTAGGTAGCACTTTAAAATTAGTCATAAATAATCCTCATTCTTGCCACACATATTAAAATGCACAAGGCTGTAGTACACTGTGAAAAACTCAAGGATTCAAAAACTCTATTACTCTCTTCACCTTTTAATAATCATGTGACCTTGGTCAAATCATTTAACTTCTCTGAGAATGAATTTTCTCTGTTGTACGTGGGAATATGTGCTCTGCTTAGCAAAACAGGATCACTGAGAAAATAAAATTAAACAGCATTGGGCTGGCAGGTGGCATGGTGGTTAAAGGCACTGGATTCTCATGTGGCCGACCATGCTTCAGGTCCCAGACCTTGCAGCTTGCTTTCTCACTTTCTTTCTCTTTCTCTCTCTCTCATAAAATTAAAAAATAATAATAATAAATAAAGTTAAATAAAATAATATTTAAAAATTAAATAACATGGATGAAAACACTTCATTAAATATAAAGGAAGGGTCTTCAAATCATAAGATATTATTATCATTTTTCCTATGTAGGAATCTCATAGTATAGTTAGACCAGATCACACTCTATTGATAAAGAAACTTCCTATTTAAAAATGCTTTTAGGGGCCAACATATGGCGTAGCATTTATGTTACTGGATTCCCACATAGTCGATCACAGTTCGAGTCCCAGATCCAGTGGCTTGAAAATCACACCGGTGCATGTGCATGCATGCCCATGACCCCCAGAGGAGAATGGAGAAGAGACTGTGGCATGGCACCTGCCTAGGGAGTGATTTTTCACTTTCCATCTCATCATCTTTGTCTCTCCCGCTCTCTGGCGAGCACATGCACCTTAAGGCAAAAAATCTCGAAATAATAAATTTTTTTAGAAAAAGCTTTTACACCACCTGTAGGATTAAAAAAAGTCAATTGAGTCATAATTAATATGATAAAAACAACTCATATTTAAAAACACTGTTTCTCTCTCATACAAGCTAAACTGATAGTACATAGCCCAAATGATAAAAATTTAAATGAGGTTCTTGAATACAGCCAATGATCAAAACAGAAGCTGTGGAACTTGGATAGGTACAGTTCCTCTCCATCAGTGCAACAAGTCTAGTTTTCAGGCTCTGATCTCACCAGGAATCTGGCAGTAGAGTCACCTTTCAGACCTTCAGCCCAGCCCCCAGCATGCCCCCTCCCTCGCATGGCACCACCTCCAAGGTGACGGTAATCAGGTTCTTGCAACGCCTGTGTGCAACATGGCAAAATCTCTTCACAGACTGGGAGAATGGAGCCTAAGGTTAACACATGATAAAACTGGAGAAAACCATGGCATCCAAGCAATACTTCTGAAAGCAGGGCCACGTGGTGGTGCAGCAGTAACACAAGTGGACTCCCTGGGAAAGGTCCTGGGTTGGCATCCTGGGATTTCCCTGAGGACTCAGTGCATGTGCACGCTGATGATCAGCGTCAGCTGAGACTGGGGGTGAGTCATGATGGCATGAAGACCCTGTGGGAGGCTTTCTCTCTCTCTCTTTCTGTCTCTCAGAAAAATAAATAAATGGGACCAGCAGATAACGTAATGGCTATGTCGCTGGACTCCCATGTAGTCGACTGCAATTCGAGTCCTGGACTCGGTGGCTTAAACTCATGCTAGGCACGTGCACGTGTGTGCCCAAGATCCTGAGAGGAAAATGGAAGAGAGGGGATTGTGGTGTGGCCATCCCCCCTGGGGGGTGATTTCTTGTTTTCTATCTCTCTGTGTCTCTCTTGTCTTTCTGGCGAGCGCACATGCCCTATAGCAAAAATCTCTCCAAAAAAAAAAAAAAAAGAAAATTAAATTAAAAAAAAATCATGGAAATACAAAAAAAAAAAAAATGTCTAACTCCATGTCAAAACACTGCTTTTCTTAAAATGACTTTAAGATCTGCTTTAACTATTAAAAGGTTTTTTTGTTTTTTTGCTTGCTTTTTAAGGTTTTTGCCATAGGGTACATGCCCTTACCTAAGAGAAAGAGAGAGAGACAGTGAGAGGGATAGGGAGAAATCATCCCCCAGAAAGGATGGCCACACCACAATCCTTCCTGCTCCATTCTCTTGGGATTTTTGGGCATGTACACACAAGTCCAGAATGATTTTAAAGTCAGCAGGTTCAGGACTCAAACCATAATTGACCAAATGGGAGTCCAGCACCTTAACCTCTATGCTACTGCTGGCCCCAGATTTTTTTTTTTTTTTTTTTTGAGAGAAATTTTTGGCTTCTGGCCACTAGCACTCACCAGAGAAGCAGAGAAACAGAAAGCAAGAAATCACCACCCCCCTGGTGTGGGGGTGGGAGAGTAGCCATGCCACAATCCCTTCTCCTCTATTCTCCTCTTGGGATTTTGGGCAGGCATGCACACATGCGCACACGCCCAGCATGAGTTTCAAGTCACCAGGTCCAGGACTTGAACATCAGTTGGCCATTTGGGTGTCCAGTGCCTTAACCACTATGCCACCTGCTGGCCTCAGATTTTTTTTTTTTAAGCAAGACTATTTCTAGAACCTAGAAACCTTAAAAATCTACATGACCAACATTATATTATTCAACAGCAAAAAAAGAAAAAAAAAGTGATAACTATAGAAAGATGAATTCATTACAGTTTCCATTAAGATACAATAAAAGAATCTCAGAGGGAAGGAGTAGATTTGATCATTAAAATTAGTACCTGGGACTGCTTCACTTCTTTCTTTACATCTTCAGAAACCAGAGCAAAAACTGGAAAAAAGAAAATTTTAACATTAAAATTAGCAATTAAAGTTCATTCTCACATTTAACAGTTGTCCTTATTATGAAAAGAAAAAGGATGATTTAACAAGACGCATTTTGTTCATTTCTAAGCAGCTGCATTGCTGCAAACTAGAATTTCTGGCTTTCTTCATCTCAAACCTAAAATTATTCATTGATGAGAGAACAACATGCTTAGGCTACCAAGCAAGAGAAATACTGCATCAAAGAAATTAAAATCCATAGATATCATTTGTGCCTATAAGTATAAACCACAAAATAGATGTATATAAAATACAACTGTGGGGGGCGGGGTTTCTGGTGCCTTCTTAAGCAAAGGGGGATTCCCGAGAATCCAGAGGGAAGAAGTGCAAATTCCTACCCTCACAATCACTGCCAGACCCTGCAGGCAGCACAGCTAAATTTGGAGTGAGCTTTTTCTTAGGGGCTGCAGAGCTAGAAGTGTGGTGGGGAGAGTTAACACAACCCTACAAAAGCAATGGAGCCAGGAGAGCGAGGGGAATTAAAAGTTATTTCCCATGTAGTGTGATTCCATGTTTTCAGTCAGAGCCCATAAATACTCAGAGATATCCCTAGAGATACATTTAAGCTCTACATCAAAAATAATAATAAAAACATGACAGTAACACTTTGAAAATATAAAGCAAAATCATAAGCCAAAGAGGAATGTTAACAGAACAACAACAAAAAAAATTGCAATTTTACAGTGCATTTCTCCTGAAGAGCTAAGAGGGGAGCGTTGCAGGGAATTCGCTTCTGTAATTAGCATTCCCAGGAGTAAATGGGCAACGCCATAGAAGGGTAATGTACTCAGAGGGTTGAAGAGGTGCTACCATGGAGCAATAACAGTACCAGGACCTACTGAGCAAGGGCTCCCTGGGTAACAGAGGAGACCCCACTCAGAAGCAGGAGACAATAGAGGCCCATTAGCACCCCTTTCAGTTCCTCCCCAGTCCCACCCCCAGACAGCCATGGCCTCCAATTCTCCATTAACAATTTGCTCAAAGGAAATCATCTAAAACACATTCGCACTAAGAAGCAAATGAGGAACTTGGTTTAATCTTTGCCATTTCCTGAATGGCATTTCAAAAGGCAGGGTGAAACTGAAGTGGAAGCCAAATGAACCTATAACTGTGGAATTTAGATAACAGCAGATATTATATGAGGCCCCCCTGAGCCCGCTTCATATAAAACAATAAATCCTTGACTCTACACTCTCCTTATCCCTCTCACTCTACTTTTCTTCAGCGCACTTATCACCAACTGACATGAAATGTATGTATTTATTACTTATCTTACATATGAATTTATTGAAGTGCGTGAGGGAAAGATTATAGTTTTATTTACTGTTTGCCCCCACACCAAGAACACAGCTAGCATGCAGAAGGAGCTCATTAAATAGTTATTGAATGAATGAATGCAAGCCTTCACTATGGCCCCAGTATTCCATCACTTAGGGGTGGTCTACTCCTTACACTAGGCAATACCAACCCCACAGAAGGGAGTTTAGGGCCCTCCCCATTTTTACCATGATCCATTTTTTCACTTTTTATACACAAAAAACCAAGCCCAGGACCAGCAGTTAGTGTAATGGCAATGTCGCTTTACTCCCATGTAGTCGACTGCGGTTCGAGTCCCGGACCCGGTGGCTTAAACTCACACCAGGTGCGTGTGCGTGCGTGCCTAAGATCCCAAGAGGAGAATGAAGAAGGGATTGCGGCATGGCCATCCCCTCTGGGGCGTCCTTTCTCGCTTTCTATTTCTCTGTCTTTCTGGCAAGCGCATGTACCCTATAGCAAAAACCTCTCAAAAAAAAAAAAAAAAAGCCAAGCCCAAATCAAATCATTCATTAAATTTTAAGAAGAAAGAAAAAATATTATCCAAAATGCTATTTAAATCCTGCGCTCTGGGTACTTAATATTATTGTTTTGCTTTATTTTATTTACCTCCAAACTAATATACAACTTAAAACCCGGAAGAAGATATGAAAAATAAAATTAATTAATAAATATCCTGCAGGGAGCACAACATGTAAACACCACAGAATTCCAAAAACAGAACCTTTTAAGAACTTGTGGGATATAAACACTTTGTTCAATTTAATACATGATATTAAATCAAGAATCCATCTCCCTATCCCAGTTGATTCTAATGCCGAAATTGGACAAAGGCCTCTAGAATGGAATTTCCTCTTTCATCAAGTAAAATAACTTCCTCGATTGAACAGGTTCAGTGACATCGCTTTACTCCCATGTAGTCGACTGCGGTTCGAGTCCCGGACCCGGTGGCTTAAACTCACACCAGGTGCGTGTGCGTGCGTGCCTAAGATCCCAAGAGGAGAATGAAGAAGGGATTGCGGCATGGCCATCCCCTCTGGGGCGTCCTTTCTCGCTTTCTATTTCTCTGTCTTTCTGGCAAGCGCATGTACCCTATAGCAAAAACCTCTCAAAAAAAAAAAAAAAAAGCCAAGCCCAAATCATTCATTAAATTTTAAGAAGAAAGAAAAAATATTATCCAAAATGCTATTTAAATCCTGCGCTCTGGGTACTTAATATTATTGTTTTGCTTTATTTTATTTACCTCCAAACTAATATACAACTTAAAACCCGGAAGAAGATATGAAAAATAAAATTAATTAATAAATATCCTGCAGGGAGCACAACATGTAAACACCACAGAATTCCAAAAACAGAACCTTTTAAGAACTTGTGGGATATAAACACTTTGTTCAATTTAATACATGATATTAAATCAAGAATCCATCTCCCTATCCCAGTTGATTCTAATGCCGAAATTGGACAAAGGCCTCTAGAATGGAATTTCCTCTTTCATCAAGTAAAATAACTTCCTCGATTGAACAGGTTCAGTGACATCACCTAATTCCCAGTGTTTACTTCTGCCTCAAAAGTGAACAAATTCAGAACTGTATGACAAGTCTATGGCAGTATGACAAGGAAGTATGAGTTGTCTAAAACCCCTGCTGGCCCTTGAATGTAGCCTCCAGAGCAGGAAAGGTGTCTTTATTTGGAACTGGTTCTGAAAATCACTAACATATCACCTTTCATTAATTAAGCAACTACTATTACTTGGCAATGTGACATTTTAAAGTAGGAATTCCAAAGAGGGAAGACACTGCCAGTAAATCAAATAAATTCTACAAATTCTATTCCTTTATCTGGACAAGGTTTAACTGAGCTAAAGTTAAACTAGATTCTGGTTCTATCCAAAAATACACAGACCTACAGTTAAAATATCCTTAAAAAAAAAAAAAAAGCTGTCATTTCTCCCCATCACTCTGCTGTGAAATTAAAAACTCCTTTTTCCCATGATAGACATAAGTTATATAATATTTAAAGCAATGACATAAGAAAAGCATCAGAAACCCAGGCTGGGCGGCGCAGGGAGTAGAGGGCTGCCACGTGCTGTCTGAGACGATATGGAAAGGCTCTGTATTCCCACCCAGGGTCGGCTTGCATATGCAGAAGCAGGGCACACACCCGCAAATGCCCCATGATTATGGCTGGCTAGAAAGCATAGGGGAGGATCCTGGCATAAGGACCCTATTGAGGGAGCTTCCCTCAATAGATAAATACAATTTTTAAAAAAAGAGAGAGAAGGAAATGCATCAGAGTTACTTTCAGCCATAAAAGCAAATGATATAGTAAGATAACCCCCATCAGATGAGTATTTTAAAATGTATCAGTTGGGTTTTGTTTTTTTGTTTTAGAGAGAGATTTTTGCTATAGGGTGCATGTGCTCACCAGAGAGACAGAGACAAATAGAGCAACAAACACGCCCCAGAGCCATGCTGCAATCCCTTCTCCATTCTCCTCTCGGGATTTTGGGCATGCACACACACATGCCAAACGTGAGTTTGAAGCCGCTCAGTCTAGGGCTTGAACACTGGGTCTAGGTCAACTATGTGGGAGTCCAACAAAATAATCATTACGCCATCTGCTGGTCCCCCAGTTGGTTTTATATTTACATTCCATAATCAAAATAAAACAGAATAAATCATCCAAAACACCAAATGTATTTTGAAGGCACAGAATGTACTATACACTAATAAATTCAATCTTAAAATAACAAATCATTTACAGAATTCCTACCAACAAACGCCTGGTTTCGTGGAAATGAAGGAGAAACAGTGCAAACAGATGAGGAAAGTGAAAAAATTACCAAGTGAGGTAAGAAATTGCCTGTCACCTTCAACAGCTCTAACAAGCGCACACACTGTGAGTTTAACACCAGGGGTCTGGGTTAGCAAGCTAGGGAAAGGAGGCGGGCAGAGGAAAAGACCCCTCACAGCCCCCATCCGAAAGGGCACACAGGGGTGACCACCTGAGGATCAGCCTCCGCTGTTTCATACTAATCTCCAGATTCAGTAAGGAAAAATACTTGGCCTTCATGTACAGTTGGAGAACTAGCCCAAGGTAAATCAAGCTTTTATAA